AAATATAATTGCACTTTTGTGATTAGCCCTCGGTCTGTAACGTGCAAAATAAATTGGCAAATGCCCAACTTTTTTGCGCACCCCAAAATGAAGATTTCGAAATTCAATGTTGTTTTATGACAAACGTGAATGCGTAATTATAGATATTTATAGCTATGTGCTATTATTTATCAATCTACTATCATAATATACTCTCAAATTCTAGAGTAAAGTATTCCTTTAACATTACGGAAGCTATGTGATTAGATAGTAACTAAAGCTCGCTGTGATTACTTGGCATCGATAGCTTACCCAGATTTTTCCGCTGCATGTCCAACGTTGATTGCTGCTCCTTGTTGACTGGACTTTCTACCACTGTCGGCGTAGCTCGCTCCATATGTGCAACCTTAACCCTTTCCTTTGGCACCTCCTCCACCTTGTCTCTCAGTGGTTCCCTTATTTCTCTCGGCTTCTCTTTCACTGTCTCTCTTGGTTTCGCTTTTGAGTACTCCCATGGATTCTTCTTGAATGGTTCCTTTGGCTTCTCTCTCGGTGTCTCGTCCGGCTTCTTCTCTCGGGTGTCTTCTCTTGGCTTCTCTCTGAACGCCTTTCTCGGGGTCTCGCGTAGCAGCTGTTCACTGGGCTTCCCCAGCTGCGGTTCCTTCAGTCTCACCTTAGGTGCCTCCCTCAGCATGGCCCTTAGATCCATCGCTGTCTCTGCTTGCGGCTTCTCCTTCTGAGCTTCCTTTGGTTTCTCCCTCTGAGCATCCTTCTGCTTCACCTTTAAAGCTTCCTTTGGTTTCTCCCTTGGAGCATCCTTCTGCTTCTCCCTTGGAGCTTCCTTCGGTTTCTCCCTTGGAGCTCCCTTCGGTTTCTCCCTTGGAGCTCCCTTCGGTTTCTCCCTCGGAGCTTCTCTCAGCTTTTCCTTTGGCACTTTCTGGACGACTCCTTTGGGCTTTGCCTCGTTCGGACCGGGACCTCGTATCCGGGGCGTTGGCGCCACGACGCGCGTAGGCTCGAATCCTAACTCCTCCTCCTCCGCCGCCTCCTCCCTTTGTGACGACGACTCTCCTCTCTCCTCTCTTCGAGCTTTCTGTGGCGGGGCTGCTGCTGGGCCGGGACCGCTGACGCGTGGTCCGGGGCCGACAACCTTGGGCTGCTGCGAACTGCTGCCCGTCTTGACTAGCTGCTGGGGTTGGGCCGCCCCCGCGGTCATCCTCACGGGCTGATACATCGCTGCTGCCGCCGCATCCGAGTCCGACGTCGTCCTGCTGTCACTCAGCGCCCTCTGTGGGCTGCGCGCGGTGTCACTCAGCGCCCTCTGTGGGCTGCGCGCGGCGTCACTCAGCGGCCTCTGTGGGCTGCGCGCGGCATCACTCAGCGCCCTCTGTGGGCTGCGCGCGGCATCACTCAGCGCCCTCTGTGGGCTGCGCGCGGCATCACTCAGCGGCCTCTGTGGGCTGCGCGCGGCGTCACTCAGCGCCCTCTGTGGGCTGCGTGCGACATCACGGAATAAGAATACGTCTGAGAGAGGCTCGGCGGGGCTGAGCCCGGGCACACTCGGTGAGCTGCGGTCAGAGTCGGAAGTCCTGGACGAGCCGCGGCCGCCAGGTACCGCCAGGTGGGAGCGCGACGACTCAGCCGGCCCGCCCTGCCGCTGCATGAAGCTCTCCATCTTCTGTTTCACGTCGGAATGGCCGGCGTGCGACGCCCAGGGGAGCTTCTGCGCGGCCGCCATCGCGTGCGAGTCGTCCGACTGCGTCGGCTGCTGCTTGCGGAGAGGTGATGAGAAGTGAGGGTCGTGGTCGTCCGTGTAGCTGTAGATGCGCGTGTCCGTCTCCACCGCGCTCAGTCCGAGGTCGTTGCACAGCTGGTCGAACGCGCTCGTGTCGACGATGTCCGCCGCGACGAGCGTGGGGGCGCCACCGTCGAGCAGGAGCGAGCGGCGGTTCTGCGAAGATGAGCGTTTGGGTGGCGGCGGCGCGTAGGTGCCCCGTTCAACGGGTCGGCCCCGTTCAGGGATGAACGCCGCCGGGACGTCAGACGCGTACGCCACCTAGTGGGGACGAGAGAAATTAAACGGTCATTGATTACGTGTGACGCGACGAACTCAGCATATGATTGAATAATTTCATCGGATCTCTATAGTTCACATATAAATAAGTTTATCTTAGTTAGATCCATAATAAGTTACTTAGTAATTAAGTAGTAATTACTAAGTAATTACTTACAACAACGAAATGTTCGTCCATCTCTCCGATAGACTTCCTCAGGTCTCATGTTTCCAGGTAGAAGAGATGGACGAACATTTCGTCGTTGTAAGTGATTATAACTTATTATGGATCTATCTGAGATAAACTTATTTTTATGTGAACTCAGCATAATTCGTGTGTGAGTCACTTAACCTGGCTTCCTGGCTTCCTCCTGCGCTTCCATCACCGGCGAATATTTTACTAACTATTGTTTCGGCCGACATCTGCTTTCCATTAGATGCTAGTCGCACAAAGCATGCTGGCTAGCATTACCGAGACACGAGAGCTGTGAAACCGGCAAGCTGGGAGCGAAAATAAGAGTTTAAGGAGGTGATTCACCCCCAACAGCTAAACTCGGTAGCGGAGGGGAGGGGGGGGAGGTCAATCACTCGTACTGGATCTCTCATACACCGTTACTAATACTAGAGATGATAGATATCGAGGTTCTATCAGACATTTTACAGACGTAAAAAAAGAGAGAGAAATCTATTTGTGCACGAGGCTAATGCATTCGGGGGGAACAGATGCATGCCTAGTCGCAAAGGATGACTACTGCTAAAATCGTGGGGAATACTGGTGACTACTGGTGCCAGCCAAACATCAGAGGATGACTACTGGTGAAATGGAGAAAATCCTGTCCGAATTCAGCACGGCTAGATCTACACAGTACGTTTTGCCTTAGAATACACCAACAAGATGCACACCTGTTGAAATTAGCTTCAGACAGGCGGCTAAGCAATTACAATGCATACCGAGTAAAGAGCAGACATGCACACACAGACAGACAGACAGACAGACAGACAGACAGACAGACAGACAGACAGACAGACAGAGACAGACAGACGCACGTACGCACTCACACACACGCACACACTATGCGCTCAGGTGCTGCGTAAGTACACGAGAGCAACCGGACAGCATGCATTCTACGTGAGTCAGTGAAACCCCTTAGAAGGGTTCACCCTAAACATACACACGCATGAGTAGCAACAGATAGTGCCATGCTGTGCGAGCGAGATGCCCGTGAAAGAATCACGTGGCTCCAACGTCAGTCGGAAACCGTACCCTGTGAGTGCGTGAGCGCGCGAGAGAGAGAGAGAGACAGAGAGAGAGATGTGCAGTCAATAGAGAAAACAGGAGAGTGAGAGCAATGGTGGATCACCTGGTGAAGCGCCGGCGGCGGCGACGCAAACTTTCCCGTGTCCTGGTGCACGGCGGCTGCCTTCCGCTGTGACAGGTAGGGGCCCTGCTGCGGCGATAGCACCTTCGCATCCTGCGGGCCCGCCATGTCTCGGACGCCGTCCCTTCGACCCCTTACGCCTTGACTCCTTGCCTCGTGCTCGCGCATTTCTCTGTCTCGCGTCTTTCTGTCTCGCGCCTCGCGTTCCCTCGCCTCTCGCTCCCACGCCTCCCTGCTCCACGCATCTTGGCTGCTTGCCTCCAGACCACGTGCATCGGGTGTGTAGTGACCAGCGCGTATGTCCGGCACCGGACGCCCCGTGCGCATGTCCGGCACCTGGTAGCCGTGGCCGCCGCTAATGTTATGTACCGATGCCGAGTATAGAGGGCGCTGCTTCGCCGCGGGAGCCGCTGCGGGCGTGTAGCGGCGCCCTCTGAGGTCACCCACGCTCTGAGAATGCACCCTACCCGTGTTTCTGCCCCGGTCCCTGCCCCGGTCACTCTGCAGGTCATTGACTAGGTCCATGCGTGGGTCCCTGGCTGGGTCCATGCGTGGGTCCCTGCGTGGGTCCCTGGTTGGGTCCCTGCTTGGGTCCATGCGTGGGTCCCTGGTTGGGTTCATGCGTGGGTCCATGCGTGGGTCCCTGGTTGGGTTCATGCGTGGGTCCATGCGTGGGTCCCTAGTTGGGTCCATGCGTGGGTCCCTAGTTGGGTCCATGCGTGGGTCCATGCGTGGGTCCATGCGTGGGTCCCTGCTTGGGTCCATGCGTGGGTCCATGCGTGGGTCCCTGACCGGTCCTTGCTTGAGCACAGCTTGCTGAGGGCGAGGGTCTTGCGGGAATTGCTGCGGCACGACCGGACGACACAGCGAAAAGTCGTGGCTCTGGGGTGCAGGCGTCGCATTGTCGTACCTCTGCCGCACGTACGCGTTCGGCGACGGAAAATGCGTCGCCAGCCCGCGGTCAGACACGCTGCGGCCTGCAAGGTTCCGGTCAGCACCCACCGCTAGCCGCTGGTCACCCGGCTCGATCCACGACTCGCCGCCCGTCTTCTGTTTCGGCGCAGCCCGGCGCGCGTCCGTCTGCGAGAGATCGGCGGAGAGCGGGCGTGCGGTGCGGGTGGCGCCCCCGCGTGGCCGCTCGCGGCGACGCACGGGCTGCGGCGCGGCGGCGTCGTTGTCGCTGCTGCTGCTGCTGCTGCTGAGCTGCAGTCTGCGCTCCCGCCGCTCCTCCAGCCGATGCAGGCGGTCGTGACTGCTGCTCCTACCACCCACCCCTCCTCCTCCTCCTCCTCCTCCTCCTCCTTCTCCCGGTCTACTCGTGCTGAGCGGACCCCCATTCAACTTAGGACTTGAGGCGGAATCGGACGCGGGTTTTCGCTGGTAGCGACCGGGCATGGACGCGGACTTCTGGCGGGCAACCCGCTCACCGACGACCGGAGTCTCCACTTCCAACTTCTTCTTTTTCTTGCTCGCACCGACCAACAGCTTCTGTTTCGCGTCCCTGTCGGTCGGTGCCGAGTCAGAGGAACGCTGACCACGATAGCCATCATCCGAGGCTTCAGAATCCGACGCCGCGTCGTCTAGGGACTCCTGCTGTCGCACCTTCTGCTGTGCGGCCACGCCCTTCTCCTTGTCTTCTTCCTTCTCCTGCTTAGACATGCTGGCTGCTAACAGAAAGCGATACACAACCCAGCGTTATTATCATCTGCGATTTTCCGACACGCAGCCCTTTGATCATCATTGCCATCTAAGCCAGGAGTTATTCGGCGTTAGTGCTCAAACGTCTTGCGAAAGCAGCAAGGGTAAGGGTTAAGGTTTGCATGCCCAACGTCCCGTCCCGCCCCACAGCTCTCGTTCCCGCTACAGAAACAGAAGGAAGGTAGACAAGCAGAAGAGCGACGCAGCAGCCCCCTGACACATCGTTACAAGAACAGCCACAGAGAAAACCATAGCGCACACTTGGAAATGCAGACGCCTGCGAGTATATCAGGGGACCATCTCTAACGTCGGCCGCCTCTCGCTCGCTCGCTCGCGCACGCGCAACGGTACATTTTCTGCGAAAACCACACACAAAATGCAACTGACAATGCGCTTGTGACGTGTTGTGTACTCACCAAGTTCTGTTTGCGAGAATTTGTTTATTTTCGTTCACGTCCAGCACACATGGTACGGGCTGCGCGCTGCCCGTGCGATCTGCAACGAAAATAAATTCCCTTCAGCGTCTCTCGGCCATAATCGCGATGAGAATTCGATACTGTAGCAGTAGTTGCTGCCGCTAGCTATGTGGGAGCATACCCTCCATCTGCGTGTGGACGCACCCAGCAAGACAACAACACTGATGCTAACTGAAACACTCACGGCCTTAAGTCACTAAAATCGACCCGACACCGTTGACGAGAAAAACAGCACGTTCAGGTTTTTCCAGATGTCTTTAGCGTCAATGCGCTCACTTATAATACTTTCGGACTGCGGTCAGATGCAGTGTTTTGCATCTAAGGCTCTCGCGACCGATGCAGAGATGCGAGTGCATGCATGCACGTTCCCCGCCGCCTCTACCACATCTTCTGCAGCTGCAGTACCAGCATCTGCCGAGCGCACGCCCCCTTCTAAACTTCCCCGCAGCTCAAGGACACGTCGCTGGGCACGTGGCATGTTTCTTCCCGCGTGTGCGCGCTGGCGAGAACGAGAGAGACGTGGTTTGTGTCACACGGCGGACGGCATCGCGCCAGATCCGCCTTCCGACGCGATGTTGACCATCGCCACGGCAACGTACGGCGGTCCGCAGCTGCTGTTTATGAAGATGCCGCCTGAATCCCTGCAGTCGACCTCGTCATTCACTCGCGCAGGATGCTTGTTGCCATGACGATTAGCTGAACTGTGCGTGCCTCCCGCGTGACACAAACCAGTGACGCATCGTCGTTATTTTGACTGTCGATGGCTGTTGCTTCGAACGTCCAATTTCCTGAAATTGCACCGCTTGTTCGCTCGTTGTTTACTATTTAATGTGTGCATTAGCTGCACAGTCTGCATTAGCTGCAGAGCGTTGAGCGAGGTGTTTACGTGTTTTGCGCACCATAGGGAAAAGCGGGTTGCAAATCACTGCCTCATGCGTATTACCATCCAATATAATACCTCGATATTCACTTTAGCGACAAGGCTCGATGATAAACATGTTTTGTCATTATAAACCAATAAGCGAAGGTAAGATGTAACTCTCGTAGTGCATGGACGGATGGATGTGAGCACTGTAACTACCGCTGCGGCAGCATCGTCATCTGCAGCTGCATCAGTCCGCATCCCTTACATTCCTCGATCACCAGCCTAGTGATTAAACTGCTGATTACGAGAGTGAGACAAGAGAAACCCACAGAAAAAAACACCAGGTTCTGGGGAGACCAAGAGCTTTACCTATAGAACCTGTGAGACCTAGCTGAGGATGTTCTGACTGGGCGATAGGCTACATAGGTAGAGCTAGTGTCAGGCCTACATTGCAGCGATGGACTATACATAGGTAGAGCTAGTGTCAGGCCTACATTGCAGCGATGGACTATACATAGGTAGAGCTAGTGTCAAGCCTATGTTGCAGCAACAGACTACATAGTTAGTCAATAATGACAAACATTTGACAAAAAAATTGTCGTTATTAACCCCTGATAATAGCAAGGAGTCACGCAATAAAAAAAGCCAACAGTCGGCCCCGTGAAAACAGAGGCCCCTGCCTCTACAGTGACACGGTGTATAGTCGGTCTGTACTCGTTACCTCCGCCCAACGGAGTTGGAGGAGAGGTTGTGTTTTCGCTCTCGTGTGTTCGTGTGTTAGTGTGTTCGTGTGTTCGTGTGTTAGTGTGTTCGCGCGATCGATATTAGCGCATCAGCCAGCAAGCCAGCGAGTCAGCGAGCGCAGCGAGCCAGCGAGCGCGTACATGTCAGCGAGCAGCAGCAACGAGCGGCTGCTACGAGCGAGCGAGCACACTGGCGTATATCGTGGGTTATTCGTGTGTTCGTGAGTCGTATGGCGTATGTCGCTGGCGGAGGTATGCACTCTCCGTGAGTGCACTCTGTCTAGTTGTTGTTGTGGCGTGTGCTAAAATACGATGCTGGGAGAACACTAGTTACAATTCCCTTACTCGTATAAAAAAAATATGCTGGCACCGGCTGGCCCGAACCATATGGCGAGTGGAAGAGGGTTTGAGTCCACTTACTCACAGTACTTTCAGATTGAGCTTAGATTCGTTCAGAGTCAAGGTTAGTGACAGTGGTAGAGGTATGGTTATGATTAGTACAGGGATTATTAGGATTAGGGTTAGGGTTATGAATCTAAAGTTAAAGTTTGTACACTATTAGGGTTAAGGTGGCCAGGAATATGGCTGGATTTTGTTAGCGATGGGTAGGGTTAGGGGTAGGAAATTGTGAATTAGATGAATTTAGAATCGAACGGCCCCTGAGTCGAACCGGCTCGAATTTCACGCGTCAGAATAAACGGATGCGTGTTAACCACGCACGACCTGACGTCACGCGTGCATGCGTCCACTGCGAAGCCGTCTTCTATACACAGAGACGTAGACATCGCAGCACATCGGTGGGCAGGGGCGTATCAGCCACCTAATGAATAATTAGCTGACGGTAGAGTGCGCTCACACGCCCACCGTTACGCTCCCACCCTTACCCACCCCGCCACCGTTATAAACGTTAGACTGACTACAGGCGTTCCCTGACTGCCGCCAGGGTGAAGTGTCGGCGACGTACGTAGTCAGTCTAAGTGCACCGTCCCACCTAGCCTGCCGACTACACGTCTGTTTTTAAAATGACAATGACTTGAAACTAGCGCCTCATCGCGGGTCTCTAAAAAATAGCTTATCATTTTCCTCCCATCACGGTAGGTTTAATTAACTCCCATCTCTTCTATACCCTCATGAGTCTGCCTAACCATCTATTTCTTCCCTCCCCTTATTGGCTCTGTCTAATTAATCTAGCTATCAGTTTCCCCAGCGGATATGACGAATAAGCTAGCTCTGTCCTTCTTCTTCCGTTCCTATTTAATCTTTTTTTATTAACCGATATCTTCCCTTTTCTGCTTCTTCTCCTCCTCCTCCTCCTCCTT